ACTCGGCACAGCGTGGATGGGCAGGGAACTGTCACTTACTGTAAGCTTAGTCCTGGGAGAAACGGCTGAGATTCCTGAGAAGATGCTATGCAAGTGCAGCTTTGCCTTCAATCCATTAGAAGCTGTTCGTGGGATTTCAGGTCTCTGAACAGACAAGGGCATCGCAGCCTGGCCAGCATTCACTGCCCGTTCATAGTTTATAGAATTCCTACAGCGTGGAAAGAGGCCATTCGGCCCATCAAGCCTGCACCAAGCCCCCAAAGAGCATCCCATCCAGACCCTTTAGGGAAGGAATCCACCACCCTTACCTGGTCTGGCCTACATGTGACTCCAGACCCACAGTGATTTAGTTCACACATACAGGTAATAAATGCTGGGCCTAGCCAGCGATGCTCTCATCCCATGAATGATTTTTTTAAAAAAAAGTAACCTCTCAACATCGGGGGTTTGCTGTTTGTGTGTGACAGATGACGGATGCTGGGAATTCAGTGAAGGGATGGTGAGATGATGGTGTTTTGTTTCACAGGTACTGGAGGTATAACGAAGAGAAGCAAGCATCAGACCCTGGCTACCCAAAACCCATCACCATCTGGAAGGGAATTCCCGAGGCACCTCAGGGTGCCTTTGTGAGCAAGGAAGGAAGTGAGTATGTAGCAGAGAAACTGCAGTGTTCTACCAGTCACTGAGTTGGTTACAGGAATCTGTTGGGCAATTACCTAGAAATCCTGAGGTCCAATTCCACCAGGCTCCACTACGGCATTGAATTCTGGAAACTGGTCATTTTGTCACTGGCACCAGGAGGAAAACAAACAGATTGTCATGAAAACACAGAGGGCAGTTGTGTCAGTGAGGGCCAATACATGATAAACTGTCAGTCTTTCAAGTAGCAGGATTTGATTCAATCACATCTGTCTGTCTCAGAGTAAGGCCTCGAGGCATTCTGCAGAAAGGAGAGGTGCAGAGAAATTCTGCCTGCCATTGATTGTTGCACTCGGGACTCTATTGTTAAAGAAACAACAGAGGTACCCTCCATCCCTTCATTGGAGCAAAGAAGGATGAGAGGTGACTTGATAGAGATGTACAAGATGAAGAGAGGCATAGATAGAGTGGATAGCCAGAGACTTTTTCCCACGGCGGAAATGACTATTACAAAGGGACATAATTTTAAGGTGATTGGAGGAAGGTATAAGGGAGATGTCAGAGGTAGGTTCTTTACACAGAGAGTGGTGGGCATGTGGAATGCGCTGCCAGCAGTGGTAGTGGAGTCAGATACTTTAGAGATTTTTAAGCGACTCTTGGATAGGCACATGGAGGATAGTAAAATGTAGGGTATGCAGGGTAGATTGATCTTAGTAGGATAATAGGTCGGCACAACATCGTGTGTCGAAGGGCCTGTACTGTGCTGTACCGCTCTATGTTCTATGTTCTACCTGTTCATTACTGAGTGTATCCTCCAGAGCTCAACCAGGAGGAAAGGTAGAGAGGAGCCAATTTTCAGGGAAATTACAGACAGGTGCAAAAACTGTACAGAAGTTAGTGAGGGACTTGTGTAAACTGGTCCAGGAATATTGCAAAGGGTAAAGAGGGAGAGGGCTTTTGAAGTTTGTTCAGGAGAATTTACTAAATCAGAATTTTTCTAGTCCAGTGAGAAGGTGGATATTTCTGTATCTGTTTCCAGACAATGAGATGCATCATTGTCTTTTTGGAGGTTGGAGGGCCAAGCTACTGGGGCTTGGGGGCCGGTGATCAATGTATCATAAAGTTCAAGTTTAGCCACGGAAAAGGACAAGTGCGATCTGCAGTAAAAATAATGAAGTGAAGAAACGCCAACTTCATTGGGAGTGGGACAGGATCTGACCCAAATAAACTAGAATCAAAAAAACCCAAAGAACTGTGGATGCTGGAAATCAGAACCAAAAGCAGATCTTGCTCCACATACTCAGCAGGTCTGGCAGCATCTGTGAAGAGAATGTAGCGTTAATGTTTCAGGTCCTGTGACCCTTCCTCAGAACTGGAATCAAAAGTTAGTAGCAAAACTATAACTGAGAAATGGACTGCATTTAAAGAAGGAACAGCTTGAGTAGTTAAGAACTATTCTCACCAGTGTTGTGGATCAGACCAAATACTCTTTAAATATATCAAGGCAGTAGCCTAGACCCTAAGAGATAACATAGTGTGGAGCTGGAGGAACAAAGCAGGCCAGGCAGCATCAGAGGAACAGGAAAGCAGATGTTTCGGGTTGGGACCCTTCTTTCATCTTCCAGCTTTTAGCTGGAACTGGGGAAGGAATAAGAGCTTCCACATTCAGCTTCAAAACCCCAGCAACAGCTACTGAAAGCTAAACTAAAATCCTGGTTCTGTGGGAGACTGACTCCATCCATTCATGCTGCTTCTATTGTTACAGCTTTTAAAAAAGCCCAAGGCCTCACAAACTGTTTAATTTATTAGCTTGGAACAAATGACTCAGTGCCTCTGTCTCACGTCTCTTCATAAAAAATAAACAGGACAAAATGCACCTCTTAAAGCCATAGTATTGTCACACCGGGAGAAAGTTAGAACAAACAAATCCAGAGCTTCGTAACAGACAGTTCAGAAAAAATTCAGTAATCATACCAGGGAGGAGGTCCTTCCATTACATGGATTGGAAACGCTGCAAGTGCCCTGACAAATTTATTACAATTGTTTGAGGATGTAACAAGCAGGATAGATAAAGGGGAAACAGTGGATGTAATATATTTGGATTTTCAGATGTTTGGTAAGGTACAACACATTAAGCTACTTACTAAGAGCCCATAGTGTTGGACATAGTGTATAAGCACGGATAGAGGATTGGTAACTAATAGAAAACAGAGAGTTGGGATAAGTGGGGGGAAGGGTGCATTTTCAGCATAGTGCTGCAGGAATCAGTGCTGGAGCCACAGTTATTTAGAATAGATATTAATGACTTGGACGAATGAAGTGAATGTACAAATCACACAAGTTTGTGGATGACATAGGTGGGAAGGCAAATGGTGAGGATGAGACAGAGTTACAAAGGTATATAGACTGGGAGAAAACTTGTCAGATGGAATATAGTGTGGGAAAAATGGGAGGTTATGCATTTTGACAGAAAGAATAGAGGAGCTGAATTGTAGTTAAATGGAAAAAGCTACAGCACAGGTGCCATGGTGGCTCAGTGGTTAGCACGGCTGCCTGACAGTGCCAGGGACCTGGGTTTGATTCCACCCTCGGGCGACTGTCTGTGTGGAGTTTGCACATTCTCCCTGTATCTACGTGGGTTTCCTCTGGACTTGTTGGGCCGAAGGGCCTGTTTCCACACTGTAGGGATTCTATGATGAATTTGGGGGTCCTTGTTTATAAATCACAACAAGCTAGCATCTAATTTCAGAAGGTAATTAAGAAAACAGATGGAATGTTGGCCTTTATTTCAAAGGGAATTGAATATGAAAATAGGAAGGTTTTGCTAAAACTATACAAGGCACCAGTCAGATCTCAGCTGGAATAATGTGAACAGATTTGGGCCCCTTACCCAAGGAAAGATATACTGGCATTGGAGGCAGTCCAGAGCTGTTCCTGGGTATGGAGGGAGTAAGTTAACAGGGGAGGTTGAGTAAATCGGGCCTGTACTTATTGGAACTTAGAAAACTAAGAGCTGACCTTATTGAAACATACAAGACTTTTATGGGATCTGACAAGGTCGATGCTGAGATTGTTTCCCACTTTGGGCGTGGCTAGGACCACAGGCCATAATCTCAGAATAAGGGGTTGACCACTTAAAGCAGAGATGAAGAGTAATTTATTCTCAGAGGGTACTGAATTTGTGGAATTCTTTACCACAGAGGGTTGTTGAAGCTGAGTCATTAAGTATGTTCAAGGCTGCGACATATTTTTATTCAGTAAGGGAATCGAGAGCTATGGAGGAAAAGGCAGGAAAGTGGAGTTGAGGATTATCATGTCAGCCACAATCTCACTGAATGGTGGAGCAGACTGAATGGGCTGAATGGCCTACTGCTGCTCCTATGTCTTATAGTCTCATGTTGTCTTTAGAGAAATTTAAGAGGAGATTTTTATAGAGCTTTTAAAATCATTAGGGACCTAGACACAGTAGGCAGGAAAGCTGTTCTCATTGGTGGAAGAGTTGAAGTCAAGAGAGCACAGATTGATTGGCCAAAGAATCTCTCTATGCTTAGAATGTCTGTGCCGCCTGAGTGTGCCGAAGACAGATTCAATTGTAGCTTCCAAAAGGTTACCTTAATAATTAATTCTCTGAAGGAAAATGCCTTTGGTGAGTGGGAGATGATGAGTGGGTGGCACTGTCTGAGGTGCTTGTGCAGTGAGCCAGCATGACTTCAGGCTGAATGGCTTCCTTCTGTATTGCAATGTGGTTCTATGGTAATAAGAAACAACATTCATGACAATGATCCAGAGAAACATTCAGCAACTGAGACTGTTTTGGTTCAGTGTGCCTGTGCAACCACTTGGCTCGAGCAATCCAGGGCTAATCCTACTGTGCCACCCATTGCATTCAGTCTTGTACCTTCAACTCCTTTATTCTTTACCGTAACCAATCCTTAAAGCAAAACTTTCTATTGTCCAAACAGCATTAAAAAGTATAAGCTGCAGATGTAAAGATCTTCCTATCAGTTTAACTTTCTTTCTTTCTTTCCTTTTCAATAAGCGTACACGTATTTTTACAAAGGAAAACAGTACTGGAAATTTGACAATCAGAAGTTGCTTGTGGAGCCTGGGTATCCGCGCTCCATTGTCAAGGACTGGATGGGATGCAATCACAAAGATGTCAACACAAGCAAAGACCGTCGTCGGCCCAATGACGATGTAGACATCATGGTCCAGATCAATGACGTTCCCAGCACAGTAAATGCCATCGCTGTAGTCATCCCTTGTATCCTGTCCCTCTGTATCCTGGTATTGGTTTACACCATCTTCCAGTTCAAGCAGAAAGGCTCACAGCAGAACCTGGTGTCCTGCAAACGCTCAGTGCAAGAGTGGGTCTGAAGATCCAGCACAATAGGACAGGCGTTTTTAAAATGTCATTGGTTCAAATGAGGGCTATTTGTGAATGAGGCAGGAATCTTCCAACCGTGGGAAAGATGACTTGAGAGCCTAGAATCTCTGAACCTTGGAGTATTTGTGGTGTTTCTACCTACTTAACAAGGGAACCGAAAGGGAACTGGGAGACTCCTGCAACACACACGTCACGTCTTTACTACAATGCCTCATTCATGTTTTTGGTGTGCCATTCTGCGTAGGCCCAGTCTGTGTGTATACTTTAACACATGGATAGACCTTCTGTAGTGAAGAGGGAAAACCGCACAGGAGAAATGAGGATAACCTCCATCTCTTTAATTCTTCATTCTGCAAATCAACATCTTCAGTGGAGTTGAAAGTTTTCTTGTTTGGGATAGAGCTACACCACAAAATATTCCTGGAAAACTAATAACATCAAAAGAAGAAATGTTGAATAAGAAAAGATTTTGCTGGTCATGATGAGAGACCATATAATGCTACTTGAACAGAGATTTTGAGTCTTAAAACAAGAGTGTAATTTTATTACACATTAACTGGAACAATAGGTAAAAGCGAAAATGTGGATTTGTGAATCCGCAGGGGATTTTAAAAATTTCAATGTATTTTGAAATAAGTGGGGGCCAAAATATCTACAATAGTTAACAGCCTTAAAACATTTTCTTTTGTTAGTTGTTTGGTCAAGTCTTTGAATGTCAACATTAATGAGTCTTTGTGAACCTTCATCAGTATGTCATTATGAAACTGTGACTATGGCAACAAGAGGCCTGATTACATTCAGGACTAGGCCCTAGCATGCAAAGCAGTCAGTGTTAGCAATACCTGTCCAGTGTACTGGTAGATCCAGATCCAGATGGTGCCACACATCCAGTGTCCTCAAGTCATTGAACAAACAGAAGTGCCATTTGATGGTACCACAAGGAAGCTGGAGGAGTTATCACCCGAAAGAAAGAACGATGACTTGAAAATGACCAGGATTTGGTGGCTGAACTAAATCACAGTATTATTATACAGTTACCACTTAGTCTTTGTGAAAACTGGCTGAGTGACTGATTAGTCAGTTAATGACATAATATAGATAGAGCTTTTAAACAGCATTTCAGATGAAGCTGATTTGCCAGTTGTTAAAAGTTTGTGTAGTCGAGCTGCTCTTGCTATTGACTGTCAGTCACAATACTGCCCCATTGCACTGAATCTGGTAGATGTAAATGCTTTGAAAGAGGTTTGCAATAGGACATTAATTGAAAGCATAGTAAAAAGTTCTGATGTACAGTTAATCTTTTACTAAACAGGTTTGCCATTTCATAGAAAGCTTTTTTTTTAATCTTGTCTTACAATATTTGGGAAAGTGAGGAAATGACGTTTTACATCAGATATTTTAGGGTTTGTTTTTGTGACCAAAATTCCAATTGGCCCATCTGAACTTGGTCATGCAGTTATAGGCAGTGTTTCTTTGGGACTGGGAAGTTTCAGTTTCTAGCAGCAGAAATAGGTTGTGACTGACTTCTGTCACCTAACAATAGTAATGTGCTTAGTGGATAAAATGGCTGGCCAATAAACCATGTTGCTGACTAATGACCATTTTATCATAGTAATCAGTGTTACCTGCCTCCATTTAAAATTTCCAGTACCCACAGACTCCACCTGCAACAATGGTATTTTATTTGGGTTTTTAGCAGCTACAGTGTGAGAAGTGCCAGCTATTTTGTCAGAGGTAGCCAAGATTATTATTTATCACTTCATGTCTCCTGACAATATTGTCCAATGCTTTAAAATCTGTATTGATTCTTTAATTGAGTTTTTAAGTATCTCCCCACAAAACTGATAGAAACACAGACAAAACCATGGATCAAAGATGTCCATTGATTTTTCTAAGTTTTTGGGATGAAATTATGGATCTCTTATGAAAATGTTTAAGATAATTGTCTACATGAAAACAAATTGTACGAATATATTGTTACTACAGTCGGGTATATGTGACAGTGACTGGATTAGAGAGATCTTGCTGCATTGAAACTGCAACCATCAATTAGTAGTTGGAAGGTTTAAATAATAACCAATTGTCATTTATTTTGTAAATGTTTTCCCATTTCTCTGGCCTTTTTGTCTTCCTCTAGAGACTGTACTGTATCAGTAAATATTTTAGCAGCAAGACAAGGGACCATTTTCAATTGTTGCTGTCCTGATGGTCAAGAGGAACAATCAATATTTCTGTAACTTCTCAATTAATTTAAGAATTATTTTTGCATTGACTGATTTCTTTATTGGTTTTGAGTGCTCCAGCGACCCTGATATAGAGACTTTCTCTGGTTGTTTTACACGGACCAGCCTTCAGGTGTTACACAATATATCCAGGTGGTTGTCAGCTGTAGCTGATTTTAAATTGCAAATTGTTAAATTTTTAAGTGCTTATTTTGTTAATTTCATTCCTGTTCATTTGTGGCACAGTTTCTGTTTTAAACATTCCACACTCTGTAACAGCCACTTTCACACTCAACATGGCTGCCAAAGCTGCTGTATCAATCAAAATGGTGGTCGGCCTAAAGTTTGTTTGTGTTGAAAAGATCTGATTAATCAGTAATGTTCAATGCAATCTAATGTTTTGTGCTCCAGTGGAAATATTGAGTGTTTCAGCTGAGCCTAAGGCTTACACAGATGTAAAAGATGATGTAGGAATTCTTTGCAAAGTTTAACAAAAGTCATGGAAAGTTTCACTTAAGATTGTCATGTTTTTATTCCCTCAACTTTCCAGTTGTTATTATCATGTAAGGGGAATGTTAAATAGTTATGCAAAGTTTCCTTTGAGAGGAAATGAAAAACTTAGATATTTTGGAGTTCATTTATTGTGTAATTTGAGTAATTTATTTTGCCAATGGAGGAGAATCCGAGCTGAGCCCAAGACATCCTGTTTAGCCAGGGTCCTGGCTAAATTCACTCCCCAACCCCCACCAAACTTCCCCCCCCCCCCCCCCACCCCCACCACTGAACTCATGTTCAGACATTGTCAAATAAAACTCAGGAACCTGCTACTCCAAGAATTGGTGGTGTTAGACCAGGCCAGCAACACCTTTAAGAACTTAGTCTCAGTAACAGGACCAGTTGAGAGATTCTTAACTCAAATTAAATCCTTGCATTTATTTATTAATACAGTACAAAAGCAAGGGAGTTATTGCTATACTTTTATAAACCTCTAGTTAGGCCCCAGTTGGAAAACTGTATCTACTTCTAATTGTGGACACTACACTTTTGGGAAGATGAAAATGTCTTAGAGACTTGAATGAGGGACTTCAGTTAATGAGATGAGACTGGAGAAGCTGGAACTGATCTCCACAGAACAAAGATGATTATAGGTCAATTTAATTTACTATTTTTTCAAAGGGTTTTGAGATAATAAATTTAGGAGGATAAGTAACCAGAGGGACAAAGATTGAAGTTGATTGAGAAAATGCCAGAGGAGACATGAGGATAACTTACTTTACATGGCTAGATGTTGTGATCCGGAATATTCTGCCTGAAAGAACAATGGAAACAGATTCAATCAGAACTTCCAAAAGGGGAATTGGATAAATACCAGATTAGGAAACATTTCAGACATATGGGGAAAAAGCAGCATGGAATGCGATTAATTGGATAGTACTGCCACCGAAACATAAATGAAGTCATTAATGTAGCACCTTTTAATATAGGAAACTTCCTCTTGGCTTTTCAAAGACATAGTACAGAAAAACAGATAGCCAACTAAAGACCTGGGTAAACGAGAAGAGGTTTATGGAGAAATGCTTGTGTTTAAGATTGTTGGTAACTGAAGGCATGGTCATTATGTAGGGCTTCACAGATTAGGGTTGTTTCAGAGATAAAAACTGGAGAAGTACATAGATTTCAGAGAAGTGTGGGACATAGAGGACATAGAGGTAAACAGAAGAGAAGAATTTTAAAATTGTAGTTCATAAAGCATGAGGGTTTCAGCACCAGAGAGTGATTGGTAGTTGGGGATGTGGGGGAACAGGTGACCTGACAGAAGGGAAAATAAGGCGTTTGGTCAGAATGGGGGAGATGTGGAGTTAGAACATCAGCTCAGGGTTGAATGGGACAGAGGCTGTGAACAGTGGTTCAACTTGATTCAAAAGCTGTGAAGTTACTAGAACCCACTAATAAATCTGTGGCAGAACTTGTACAATAGGACATAACCATATTCATGCTATTATCTGAACAAGTTTAAAAAAAATTAAATGAAATTCCCTTTTTCATTTTGGTGTAAAGATTGGCTCCTCAAGTTTCTGGTCTCAATATCCTTTTATTTCTGGGTAAATGTTGTTTGGCGAGATGCAGTTTTCAGTGTCAAACTGAGCTCTTTCTTTCACTTTGAGCCTGTCAAACTGTTACTTGCTCTGAAAGTGCTTGGATTAAGGAGATTAAAGTTAGTACTGGTTCACTCTCTGTTACATTTTTACTGATATGAAATACAGACTGACTACAGGCTGTTCACAATCTATTCTGACTGTGCAAAATCAGGACAGGCAACAAAAATTCCACGGTACAATTTTAAAGGGGTGTATGTACTCAAATCTTTACAGATGATAACACAAATTGAGAAGGCTGTTTAAAAAAGCAGATTGGTTCCTTGACTTTATTAAATGAACACTGGAGTACAAAAATAAGGAGAATTTTTTTTCAAACAGTATAGGCTCCAGCTGGAATTTTGTATCCACTTCTTGCACTGCATTTCAGGAACAATGTCATGGCCCTCGATAGCAGGAATGGGGACTTCAGTTATGTGGAAAGACTGGAAAAGCTGGGATTGTACTCCTTTGAACAAAACTATTTAAGGAGATCAAAGATAGGTATTTAGATCGTATTTATTACTCCTTACTTTGGTATACAGTAAATCCTCACAAAGTTATGGTGGCGTTCGTGAAAATTGTGACCTTAAGTGAGATTAATCAGCGAGTCCCAGAGACATCCATGTTAAA